TGTTTGATGATCTGGTTTCAATATTTAATCTAATCCAGTTTTATCTATAAACCAATTAACCGTTGAATCCAACCAGCATTAAGTACAATAGCAAAAAGTACAATTTGCTTGTGTTTGTACAAAGTTGTGGTCTGGTTTTCATGAGCATTTGAGTTTATAACCCTTTTTTGTGGACAGACTATGTGATGTATTATTAAACAGGAAGATTTTTCTGAGAGACATTGGTCTTCTCTTCTCTTTTCAGTTAAAATACTCTTCTTTTGCCAATGAGCACTGTTCTAATATAAACTTGAACTATTTTGCCTGGCATTATGAGCTTAACTCCTGTTCAGCAGTTGTCCAGGACCACCTACAACCTATTTATTCCAACTACTATAGTTTCCATTCCCTATGCATTGGATAGCATGTTTGAAACTTAACAACATGAACCCAGAGAAATACCTTCCTTAGGAACCTTTGGACTTCATTAGACTTTGATCCAACAGATTACCTTAGATGATGTAATAGTAATTTCTAATAAGTTGTCAGAGATCCTTACAATTTTTCTCATATGGCAACCAGAATGATATTTACTATTTTTTTCTTCTGCATCACATGAAGTTGACATTTTGCAAATAATGTACCCATCATATCAGCCTGAAATGTTAAAATACTTAAAATGCTCTTTGATGCTTGAGATCACTGATGAGAATCCATTTTGCACTTGGAGTGCTATATATTGTTATTGCAGTAAATATTGTTGGAAAATTACTATGGATAATTCTATTTTAATTTGCATCCAATATACTCCCAGTCATTTCCTATATCCAGATCAGAGCAAGCTTAGACATAGACCCAGATAGCAAAAATAAATTTAAAAAATAATTTAAGATTTATTTATTAAACATCATCATCATCATCATCATCGTTTTATTTATATACCGCCCTTCTCCCGAAGGACTCGGGGTGGTGTACAGCCAGAATTAAAACATAAATATACAATATCATAGTTAAAATTAATTAAAATCATTAAATAGTTTTGGCTGAATTTTAAAACCCAAAATTAAAATCCAATTTAAAAATTTTAAATTTGTAGTATTACGAAATACTAAAAAAAGTTAACTGGTAAAATGGGGCAAAAGCAGGGAGAATGAAAGGTATGAACAAGAGGCAACAATTTATACACTCTATCTCATTAGTTATATGTCCAAAGAGACCGAATTTCCTCAGTCATGGAAACAATACTATGAATAATTAGCAAGGCCAGCCTGAAGAGGAGTGGACTTTGGCTATTTCAGTTTTAACCCTCTTATGTACATAATAAGGTAAAATTGAAAGTAGGGTACCAGGCAATCCTTCCTCTATTATGTACCCTTAAAGAAACAATTTGGTTGAAAGGGATAATGTATATAACATATATTGTGATACTCAACCTACTGTAGCTACTCAGACTAAAAACCAAATACACAAATAATTGCTCCTTAACCTAGTATGATAGTTGAAAAACTCCCTTACCCTACTAGAATTATTGATTGCTAAATGTATGAGGAATAAGAGGAAACATATTTGGTTTTCTTTCAAATATATTAAAAGAACTGTGCTAATGGTATATTGGTGGGCTAAGACTAATTTTAATAAACTAATCCAGTGATGGGTAACCTCTTTGCTGTCGCGTGCCAAAAGCAGGGGGAGAGTGGGAGGGTTGCACACGCACGTGCCCAGAGCCTTTCTTGGAGCCTGGGGAGAGTGAAAAACGGGTCTTCCAGTCCCACCGGAAGTTGGCAAATGGGCCATTTCCTGCCTCCGGAGGGCCTCTGAAAATCAGCTGGCCGGTGCACGCATGCGCGCCGGAGCTGAGCTAAGGCAACGCTCTCATGCCCACCAATATGGCTCCACATGCCACCTGTGGCACACGTGCCATAGGTTCGCCGTCATGGAACTAGTCCTTGCAGGAAAGATCTACCCAGCAGGAACATTCAAATACAGTATTGCTTGTCCACAGTAGTGCCAAAAATAATATGAATGTGATATGATACCTTAATTTTTTTTAATGGCACATTAATGGTATGTCAATTTTCACCAACAGAAAGTTGGCATTGAAAATATTTGGAAATAATTGTTATACTGTCTTTAAAGTAATTTAGTGACAAATTTTACAGACCAGATCCTGAATTAATATCTGCAAAGTTATTTGAAAAAGAAACATGATTGCTGGATAGTGTGTTATAAATTCACTATTTATTTTTAAATGGATTATCACTGAAAAAGGTATCTCTGAAAGGAGATTGAACATCATAAGTGACAAGAACTGCTTATAAAACCTGTTTTATTATATAAGTAGTGTATCTACCGGTATATGTCTATGGGGGTGGTGAGGCTGATAGTTTACATTCTGTTCCATGATTATATTTATAGTAACCATAAAGTGTTTGAGATATGAGATAGGGATTGAAATTAATTTTCAGGAAAGAGTGTTTATGATAACCTTTTGCTGTTAGCCAGATTTAGTTGGCTAATTTTGACAAGGCAAATTGCAATGAGTTTGCTTGAAAGCTCAAAAAGAAGTACTCCATTGAAGAAATTGCTTGTCATTAATATTCTCTTGAACAACTAGCATTATCCTATCTCCCATGTGAAATAAAAACACCTAAAATTTATAGACAAAGTAGATATGAGAAATTTCTCTTCAGAAATGTATTTTAATTATACTGATATCTCCTGCCAGTCAGAGATAATGACATAGAAATGACCTCAGTAGTTTATAAAACTGGCAAGGCAATGAAGGAGCAGCAATCCTGTTGTTAGAAGTATTCTTTCGAAGACACAAGAAGATAAATTTGTTTAACTGAGATCTAGGATTGTCCACCCAGTGTTAGAATGCAGTGCCTGGAATTTTCACTATTCTGAAACAACTGATCTTTTCCTTAATGAACCCTATCTGCTTCATCTTAGACAAGATTAACTCCTAATAGGTAACATGAGGAACGGGGGTTAAAAGTAAGTATGGGTGCATGCATGCATAAAATCTTGGAGTTAAGCTTGACTCTATGTGACTTCATGGAATGAAAACATCTATGTATTTTTCTGAACAGCAAAATAGTTGTACGTCATAATCTCCTTCTGCTATGTTGTTTGTACTTCCCAGATTAACCTACAGCCCTAATGTGTCCTTTTAGTCCCTCTTCCTAGTAGTAACCAGGTTATGTACTCCTTCGGTTTTGTGATTAGCCAAAGTCAGCTAGATGCTGCCATGTAGCTTGGCTAGTTTATGTATACTCTCTGTTAAAGGTTTTTTTTACTGTGATTTGTGGGCATCAGCATTATAAGGTGATCCTGCAAGGAATTACTCCCTAAAGCAGCTGGTAGCATTACAGTCTCAGGCAGTTAGGCAGTAAGAAAGGAGTCAAGCAAAAGATAGAGCTTTTCTACTTCTGCTGGGAAGAAAAATTATCCTAAACCTTATAATACCCTTAATACCTATAGTGCCTTTCACACATACAAATTCCAGTCCCAGAACTTTCCAGCCACGATGGCCATTGTCAAGAAATTTTAGAATTGACCTCCATTGATTTGGCAGGTTCCCAGGTTGGTTAAGATTGTGTTACTAGTTAAGTCAGAAAGAGGTACAGGTAGTCCTCAAATTATAACAGTTAGTTTAGTGACCGTTCAAAGTTACAACGGCACTGATAAAAATGACTTATGACCGTTTTTCACGCTTACAACCATTGCAGCATCCCCATGGTCATGTGATCAAAATTAGTCTGCTTGGCAACTGGTTCATATTTATGATGGTTGCAGTGTCACGTAAATAGCTATTGCAACCTTCTGACAAGCAAAGTCAATGGGAAAGTCAGATTCACTTAAAAACTGTGTTACTATCTTAACAATTGCAATGATTCACTTAACAACTGTGTCTGGAAAGGTTGTAAAATGGACAAAACTCACTTAACAACATAAATTTTGGGCTCAATTGTGGTCGTAAGTCAAGGACTACCTATACCAGTAAATTATCATTTCACATTATGGTACCACAGTTAGTTAAGCGTTGAATTATATATGTTCGCATCCTTCAATATGTATAATTCATTCTGCTTGAAAATACATAAAACGATCATTTACTACAGAATGCCTAATTTAGAAATCCTGCTTTTCTAGTCTGACTGTTCTCAGTTGCTCCAAAATTGTTGTAAGCCAATCAGCACTCATCATAAACATGATTTTTGAACTTTGACTTGAATAATTATGGAACTATTCACTGATACTTCACCTTTTTTTCTTCATTTTCAAATTTTGTTTTATTCAAAATATTAAAAAACAAACTCCAAAAGAAGGAAAAAGAAAAAAAAGTGAATCAAAAGTAAAAAGAGCCTTGGTAGTACAGTGGTCTAAGGCACCCTGTTATTAAGCTGGTTATTAAGACCAGCTGCCTGCAATTACTGCAGGTTCAAATCTCGCCAAGGCTCAAGGTTGACTCAGCCTTCCATCCTTTCTAAGGTAGGTAAATTGAGGACCCAGTTGTGGGGGCAATAAGCTGACTTTGTATAAATATACAAAAGGATGAAGGCTATTGCTGAGCACATTGTAAGCCGCCCTGAGTCTCTGGAGAAGGGCGGCATATAAATCAAATTAAAAAACAAAAAAACAAAACAAAACTAGAGAAGACGACACAAAAATGTGCATAAAAAGAAAAAACAAAACAAACATATACATAAATTATATATTATCACTTTTTTTCTATAGCCATTACAGTTGATGTCTTTCCTTTTCCTCTTTCTTCCTCTGCATTCTGCATTGCATTCCTATCCTATTGTCGATCACCATGAAATCTTAACTTCATATTCTGGTACGTAATTCACTTTAGCACTGTGTTGGAATAGACCTTTAGACTGGATCCTCAAAATATTATCTCTAGATGTAGTAGTCCCACTGCATTTCCCACTAGGGATCTGTTCACAGATTGCCACTTAAGAAGATGAAATCTTATTTATTTGCGTTTTGCTTCATTCCCCTTTCCTCCACAGAATATTCCTACTCTGGGAAGTGTAGCAATTACCATGGTGCTCCACAATTGTGATGAAGTAGCTGTGGCTGGATTTGGTTATGACATGAACTCTCCCAATGCACCACTACATTACTATGAGAACATTAAGATGTCTGCCATCAAAGAGGTAAGGAATTTGGGTTAGGGTTAGCTTAATCTATATTCAGAAGTTTAAAAAACCCTTTGAATTCTAGGAGACAAAGGATATCTTATCTTCATATTCTTCATTCGGGCCTACCAGGCATGAACTGTCTACTTTTGGAAATAGGTTGGTGGATTGCCCTTGGCTTGATCCTGCAGGCTTCTTATTATGAATGCTATTATAAAATTATTAGTTTTCTTTACAAAGTACACAAGCAGGTTCAGCAGTTCCTGATTCATTGTACTTCGTTGTACTTCTAAGGATTCATGCAAATAACATAGTTTATTTCACATAACTGCCTGCAGGTTACATTTCCTGAATAGCTGTGACAAAAAAAGTAAAAAAAAAAAACAGGACTTAAAGAATTAAACAAGACATTTAACAAAGTTGGCTATGCTGCGTTCCCTTCACCTGACTATTACTAATTCAGTTATATGTTGAATAGACTCAAATTGCTTTTAAATAATTTTTAACAGGCTTTGCAAGAGCAAAACTGAAGACTATAGTTTTGCAGGGATGTGAAGAATTTTTATTGGAGAGCCTAAACAAAGCTACATTTTCTCAAGTCCTTTGGGAAAAAGATATGACTACACAGATGTATTAATCAATATGCATATACCATATATGCTTTAAGAATCTGAAAAATCAATGTTTTGCATAAATAATAACCATACAGAATCTTGCATCTGATAAAAAAAAAACTTCATCTAGACATGGGGACAACCTCAAGCTTGGATCTACACTTTCATGATAACAGCAGCAAAATAGAATTACTTTTTTAGTCTTACTGCATCTGAAAAGTGTCTTCCAGCTATCCTTTTTACAATGACGTTTATTCTTTTAGGGAAAGATCAGTCAGAAGAATTGTGTGAGCTGTTGGCAGGGCACTTTATAGATAACATTAGTGAGAGGTGCTGAGGGTAAAGCCATGAGGTGATATTGGGAATAGTTTAGCCCAGATCCTGAGGAAGTGGACAGAGTTCTTGGAGAAATAAAACTCTTAAGGATAAAGACATCAAGAGGCTTCAACTCTAACATTTACTGAACCTGCAGTGTCTATTAATGGAGGAGCTGTTCACCATTGTTTGAAAAGCATTATGAAAATATGTATCTTTTATCTTCTTCTCCTGAGGTTATTTTTTATTAAGCTAGCATTTTAGCATGAAGCGTGAAGCATGAATTCCTCACCACCCATTCCACATAGATTGCCTTTTCACGTTACCTGCTCTATGGGGACAAGATTGATCTTCCCTTCTGAGACACGAGTTCTCTTAAGTTTCACTTCTAATGTTAGGAGAACCATCTGCTGGCAAATGTCCATAATTTATTCTTCAACCTTTTCCATGTTGAACTAACTAAATGAGGGAATTGCACTTCTGTTGCTTCTTTTTAATATTAATGATTCTTAATAATTGGTAGTCATCTGAGATTTAAGTTGAAAGGTAAAAAGGATAGTAACCTGCCTTTATCATTTTCTGCTTCTCCCAGGAAAGTAAAATGAGATGCTCCAAAATCAATAGCTTGCACAAATGATAAGAAAAGAGGTAAAACAAATTAATCAATCATAACAAAGGGGCACACATTTTTCCAATTGCCCTGCACTTTGGAAAGCTATTTGAATCCTTTGATATGAACAAGCTGATAACCATAATTCTACTTTTCTTTACATGAAGAAAATACATAAGTGTCATGTTACACGGTATCTACTGACATGATGTCACATTCCACTATTTGTTATAACCAACTATTTTTGTTTGTGCTAAATTTTTGGGATAGTAATATTTGACCAGATATATGCAAAATTTAGAAGTATGATGGCATCAAGAAAGAAAGCAGAAAATTAACCATCGTAGCTTTGGGACATCTAAATATGAAGGAATTCTCAGAAGGGCGTATTGGTTTCTTCTATTATTTCTATTCAGGATTAATAGTTAAATGTGGATTAAAACCTTGAACAATTTAATTGGAGTTAAAAATTCTACCTTTTAGCAATCAGTCTTTGGGATTCACCAGGAAGACAGTGTGAAACCTAAAAGAACCATTGGATGAACTGACTTTTTTGAATTGCTTTGTCAGAAGGTTGGAGTCTAGCAAAGCCCAGAACACATAAAGCTACCTGGGTGTCCAATCTTCAGTGAATTCCTTGATGACAGCCAAGCATTAAGGGGGTTAAAAATCTTTTTGTTGTCGTTTTGTGTTGCCATCTGGAGTTTTGCAGCCCAGACCTGATTGCACCGTAAGCAAAAAAAGTATATTCATGTTTTCCTAGGTAAATAGAAGAAAATAACTGTTAGATTATGGTCTGCATAATCCTTTAGCTTTAGCTGTGAAACTAGCCAACTTTAAACTAGTGGTAAAGACATTGGTTCAGAGTGTGTATTAAATTGGGATTCCTGATAACACTAAGTCTAAATTGTTTTAAAAATACAACTAAACTTTGCTAAAGTCTCCCCTGCCTCTAAACAGGACTGAACCTGTTTATGTAGGAAAGGCAGCTGAGATATGTTTTGCACATAGTGCTATAAGAAAACATATTACCGGTACTTTGATTTTTTTTGTACAAAAAGTAGCAGAAAATAGGTCTAGGTGCCTTTGTAATTTAATAAATCAATGGAATAACCAAATCAAAGAAAGGGGATAGTTTGCCTACATAGAACAGGTAGAACAGTGTCTTCCTACCCCGTTAAGCCCAAGTCCTTGTTTCAAGAAGGTGAAACAGCCCCTCCCCGAATTCTCTTTGTTTTACACAGAAAAAATAAATAGAAACTGTCTTCCTGATGTTGTTCCAAGTGTATGTGTATTTATTCATAGGAGACTCTTTGGGAATGTCCATCAACCAGCCATTCTATTGTGCTATGTCTTAGAGAGAACAGACCTGCAGGCTACAGCGTGTGTTCCCTAACACAAGGTGTGTCATTGATTTACACGCAATGTCTGCTTGACATATCCCTGGACACCCTTTAAAAACCCAATGACTCATTTCTGGGGAATTTCTTCTGAATACACATAAAGCTAATTAATTGCATTTGTTTGCAGCTGGGTGGAGATTGCCCCTCCTGTACGAAGATGTGGTTGATACTGTATAATCTTAGTACAGAATAGAAATAAATGCCTTTTCCTGCTACTGGGTTCTATTATTTGAAGTTTGTATTATGTGAAGGCCAAAAAATGCTTGCAAAACAGTATCTTACAGACTGCAGATGGAGAAGGAAAATTTATGGAGATTACTCATGAATAAATTTACATAATGTCCTTCAAGTTTTTAGATTCTATAATCTTCCAGCATTTGAAATGGACACCCAACATTAGAACCATCATTAAAGACACACCAAAGAATGTGTTTTCTACATCAACTCAGGAAATTCAGACTACCCCAGGAGCTGTTGATACAGTTTTACAGAGGAATGATTGAGTCTTGTCATTTTACTTCTATAACTGTCTGGTTTGGTACAGCAACCAAACAGAACAGGTACAGACTCCAACAGATAGGACTGCAGAAAGAACAATTGCAATCATCCAGCCTTCCATAAAAATCCTGTACATTGCATGAGTCAGAAGAAGAGCTAAGAAAATATCTACAGACCCCTCACATCCTGGATATAAACTGTTTCAATTCCTCCCCTCGGGATACTGCTATAGGGCATTTCATGCCAAAACAACTAGACACAGGGACAGTTTTTCCCCTTGTCGCATCACTCTGTTAAACATCTAACTCTCACAGTACTGTCTAACGTATGTGTATATTTGCCCATGTTGTAGGGCTATAATATTCTTATTTTCTTTACTACCCTCTCTTATTGGTATTATAATTATTATTACTCTGTTGCTTTACATGTACATTGAGAGCGTCTAAATCAGAGACAAATTCCTTGTGTGTCTAATCACACTTGGTTAAATAAAATATCCTATCCTATCTTTACCTATTCTATCCTATCCTATCATATCCTATCCTATCCACCAACATCCTAGTCCTTTTTCATGAATGTAATATTGTGGCATTGTGAATATTCTCTTCAGGTGTAATCACCATTTGTTTTTATTTATACATAGATATATACTTAGCAATCATACTATTTCCTTTCATAGTAAGCAACACTTAATAAAGCCAGAAAAAAGAGTAAGAACAGTAAAGGCAAAATGTAAACACTGAGTCTAGTTTACACCATGCACTATACACCTTCATAATTTTCTGTCTTGCCAACTATATTTCTACTATATCCATATACTGATTCATTCACTGCCTTTTATTCTAGATAAATTTTTGTACACTATCATTTAATCCAAATCTAGCCTTATAAAAATGTAGTGAGAAACAAAAATTTGTTTTTAGATTGATTCAGTTAGTGTAGCTTTTCCTCACTTAGTTTAGTCCAACATACATTCTTGCTTTTATTCTTGACCTTTAGATAAAATTGTCAAAATGTATAGTTAGCCAGATGTTCAGACTGGATTTGGCATTTTTATCCATCTATCAAGTCCTTTCCAAGGACGTGGAATAGGCAAATGTTGATGCTTGAAGGTGTTAGAGGTATTGTCGCAGGTTGTAAGCTGTTCTGAGTGAACTGCCTTTTGCAATTGGCTGATGGTAAATTTATCAATGCCAATGGTGTTCAAGTGGTGCTCCAGTTGTTTTGGGATTGCACCCAAAGCACCTAATTACTATTGATACTTTGTTATTATTATTGTTGTTATTATGTTAATATTGCTGAAGGACAGAATGGAATCTTTTACTTCTCTATTAAGCAGTGAATTCTGTTACCTGTAGAAATGTAATAAGTTAGTAAGAGACAAAAGTCTATATTATACTTCGTTATTTGCTATTGTAGATTGTTTACATAAAAGAAGACTAGCTGCCATTTCTGACATCATTTATTCAAATATTTCTTGTTTATTACATATAGTAGTATACTATACATAGTACAGAAGTATACTGTAGTCTTGTAATATCTTCTAAAGACCTAAAATGATTGTACATTATATCAGTTCTTATGAATATCTAGAAGGGTCACTGAATAATTTTCTTCTGTGAAAAAAGAGGAAAAAATACTTGTTTGTAAGTCCTTTCATTTTCAAGCATAATGATCAAAGACAGATGTACAGACACATAAATATATTTATATAAGCTATCATTATATAAAATGCAAACAAAAGGTTGAAATGATAATGACAGTAGTTCAGTATCAGACTCTTCAACAAGATGCCCAATAAATGAAACTCCTTCTTGCATTACTCACTGAAAGCATCATGAAAGAACTAGATATTATAGTACAAAGCAAGACAATTCTGCAACTACCCAGAACAAACGCTAAGAAAAGGAGCAATGATGTCAATAGTAATAAATATATACTATATTGTGTAGAATATCCAAAAGGACTTTGGATATTAGTCCTATTCCTCCTAACTAAAGGAACACAGGAATCGTCTGCTAAATAATAATGGCATGGGAATAGTATCTCCAGTGCATCATTTGATAGCAATTCACAGTATTTCATTATCGTAGAATCAACTACGAGAGTTAATAATTTCAGCTTTCTGAGTTTGAAGGGGAAGAGGGAGAGAAGGGGACCATCCAGATGTTGAATTTCAGCTCATCAGTTCCAGCCAACAAGATTAAAAGGAGTGATAGCAATTCTAGTCCAAGAACATCTGGAGAGCAACTGATTTCCTTTCCTAGCTTCCAGAAAGTTAGCAGCGCACATAATTTATGAACAATGAGCATTAAACATGTTACACTGTTTGCTAAAATATCCTTTTCAAGTTTTCATTTTCAATAGCTTAAATGGAGAGACTTAACCTCTTCCCAATGAAATTTATGTCCGTATTTGCTTGTTCTGCCACTATTAAGTCAAAAGGGAGTTGAGCATTTAGTGGGGTGACTAAGAAGTGTAGAATTCTTCTCAGCTCAGTGATTTCCTGCTTTGAAAACTCTCTCTTAGGGCCTTCTCTCAACTGAGCTCTGAAAACAGACATAACTGGATCACATAAATGTTTCTGGAGAAAGAGATTTTAAGATATATGTGATGAAAGTGGTTATATATAAAATATATATTTTATATTCACTAATACATTTTTTTTTATTTTTTAATTTATAAATTGTAATATAAAATTTTAAAAGTTTCCTGCATGCACAAGTTCCTTTTGCTTTTAAAAGTGTATCCCCATGTGTCTTTCTATGGAATTGACACTTGATTTATTAAGTTGTCACTGTCATGTTTAGATTGGCCCTTCAAGAAAGTCACAAATGACGATCATGTGACCTTGGATGGCTAACTCTCATTAATGCAAGATGATTGCTAAGTGTCTAGATCTTGGTGTGTTATGCTCTAGGACTGCAAGAAACACGAGCTGCAGTGCAAAGCCAAGCCACCTTAGCCCAGCATCATGGCACAAACTCAGGGCACCCCAGAAAAGTGCAGCCACTCTAGCCCAGCACTGTAGTATGAAGCCGCAGCCACTCAAACATGACCACAGTGTAAAGCAGCAGTCCCAACCACCCTTTCTGACTTTCTGCACTCTGAAGCCTCTGCTGCTCTGCAGTCCACCAACCCAGCTGACCTATATTGGCTTGTCAGTTGACCTCATGAAGATAGTTGACCTGTCTTCATGAGGCCTCCCTGACATAAGCCTTCTTGAGGCAGCTGCTGCCACACAAGGCCTTCTTCCTGAAGTCTTGTGAGGAAACTGCCATTTGCTACTTGAGATGAAGGCCACTTGAAGGGTCAGGCCAAGCATGCTTGGAGCAAGAAGACAGTGAAGCTCAAGCTGGGGGCCTTGGAGCACCAGGTGGCAAAAATGCAGAACTGGGGGCAGAAAGCTGGATAGGGGGAATTTAAGTTCCCTGCAATTGTAGATGCAGATGGGATGCCAACCATCCAAATTTTGAACAGATACAGCTATAATTTTGGATTAGGTGAAAGTACCATTCATTCAGCACCGCAGTAATTCTGAACAGTCACTGAACAAATTGTCAGAATTTCAGAAATATGTCATAAATAAACACTTAGTAGAGTAGTGATGAAGGACTTGAAAAAATGTTTTAGATTTGTTTAGAATTGTTTTCCTGTTATATTCAAGTTTGAGTTTTTGACTTCTGGGTGAAGATTCCTGAGAAGGCCACGGATAGACAAGAAAACAAATAAATGGATCATAGAAAAAAAATCAAATTTTGTCATCATCAACATCCCACTGTAGCATAGCTCAAATCTTTGAACTATTTTTTGAAGAAAAAATAACTTGCTTTTGTTTCTTTCAGAGAAAACAGTAGACTAAAAAGCATGAGCAAGATCTGATAATCTTTTTAAAAAACCAGGACCTTCTCAATAGGCATTCTAATAATTAAAGTCAAATCTTTTCAGTACTAGTTCTACCTACTATCTTCATGATGTCTTTCTGATTCCTAATATTGCTTCTCAGTATCTGATGAGAATTCTGTTGTCTCTGAAAAAAGATAAATAAGAGAATTCAAATAAATTACATCTCAACTATGTAAATATTAACTGTAAGCACTAAACAGTTTTTATTTCCTTCTCCAGAGTCTCAATACTAAGATATTGCTTTCTAATATATTTCCTTATGCATTAATAGTTCAGCCTCATTTTCTATGCACTTTAATAATACAAAGTTTATGGCCATAGTCAGCACTCCCTAAAACAGCAACTGAAATTGATAAGAGTTTTCAAAATTAATGTTGACAATATTTTCCTACAGAGGTTTGGGTTTCTGAAGGGATACTGATTTTACTGGCTGTAAGAATTAGGATAAATTTAATTGTATTTACTTTTGTGGCCAGAATGTAACTGAAATAGCAGAAGTGAACAGCAAAGGATTCATTATAACTGGAGTGGAAGATGCAAAGAATTGTGATCCATTTATACTGCAGCATTTAGACTAGATAATGAAAGAATTTGAGCAATTAGATAAACATTCCCTGGAAGGAAGAGGCAGAACAGCAGCTAAGAGATTAAAAGATTTCTAAGCTTCTTATGCATTAGATGAAGTGGACCCTACTCAATGAAAGCTTATTCCATAATAACTTGTTGTCTTATTTGTAAGATACCACAAGACCTTTGGTTATTTGAATTGCTTGAATTTCCATGCCAAAATGAAAAGAAAAAGAAATGAAGAACAATGTCAAGCAGAATTTTAGCCTCCTGCCTGCTTCCTCCTCTTTAATCAATGCCCAACAGAAGGAAGATACAAGGAACAAAAGTGGTGGAGGATTGAGATGGCAGATGTTGCAGCTAAAGATTTGTTCAAAGCCTCAGACCATCCTAACATTATTATTTCTGTTGAGTGACGTGCCATCTTAGTAACAACAGGGCATGGCTGCTAGAATATTTGTCCTTTCAGTCCTCGGCAGCATGAAAGAGCACGATGATAATTAAGCAATGTGAGCAAACCTGCCATCCTTGTTTATGCATATTAAAACAGCAAAGTATACCTTTCAGATCATCATATGATGAATGAATAGGCTAAAGCTGCCACATCTATGTTTCACTTAAGGAGTGGAAAAAATGCTTTGTGAAAACAACAACAACTTTCATTCCCTGCCAATCAAGTCATTCATGCATTGAATTCAGGAATTTTACCTGGAGTGAATTTGAGCGTATAAAACAATAGTTGTATGCAGTGTAATAGAATGCAACAACCACAGAGAACTTAAATGTTTTTATTTGACCAACTGAATCATAAAAAAATAATCACTTGTAAGCTTTTCCCCCAAAAAAACCTCTTTTTCACACATGTTAGTTAACATTCAAAAAAGGAAAGAAAAATATGACTATTATTCAAACAATGTCTGCATCATTTTCTTAGACAAAGTTAGGAAAAAAAACCTTCCATGCACAAAACCTGGGTTTTGATGAGTACAGAACTGATGTTGAATTGGACTGGGGATCCCTCAAAACTTTACTGGGAGAAAGAACAAGAAAATGATTATTTTGGAAATGAAAACTATTTACTTACCGTATTTTCCGGCGTATAAGACGACTTTTTAACACATGAAAATCTTCTCAAAAGTCGGGGGTCGTCTTATACGCCGGGTGTCGTTCTCCTGTAACCAGGCAGACCAGCCCGAAAGGCTCTGACGAGCCTTAAATGGCTCTGGCGATCCCAGCTCTGAGGATCCCAGCTCTGACGATCCCAGCTGAGTTCCCTGGAACTCAGCTGGGATCGCCAGAAACCACGTAAAAGGAAAAAAGTTTTTTCCCTTTTACTCTGACGATCCCAGCTCTGACGATCCCAGCTGAGTTCCCTGCAACTCAGCTGGGATCGCCAGAAACCACGTAAAAGGAAAAAAATTTTTTACCTTTTACTCTGAGGATCCCAGCTCTGACGATCCCAGCTGAGTTCCCTGCAACTCAGCTGGGATCGCCAGAAACCACATAAAAGGAAAAAAAATTTTTACCTTTTACTCTGAGGATCCCAGCTCTGACGATCCCAGCTGAGTTCCCTGCAACTCAGCTGGGATCGCCAGAGCCATGTAAAAGGGAAAAAGTTTTCCCCCTCCAGCTTGCTTACCTCAGCTGCTAGTGGCAACGCTTGCCTTACTTTGCTTGCCTGAATCTATTCAGGCAAGCAAGCAACTCCCTGCCTGCAATCAAGCAAGGAGTTAGTTGTGGACTTCAACTCCCAGAATTCCTCAGCCAGCAAAGCAAAGCTGGCTGAGGAATTCTGGGAGTTGAAGTCTACAAGTCTTAAAGTTGCCAAGGTTGGAGACCCCTGTTCTATTGGGTAAGTTTTTTCCCCCTTTGGGAGCTTTAAAAAAAATAGTCAATTGGGGTTTTTTTAGTTGTTCTTTTTTAGACCTAGCCATTTAAAGTTTAGGAAGTTTTAAATTTAGCTTTCATATAAAAATTAAAATAAAATAAAATAAAACAATATTTGTGCAGCTTTCTGAGATTTAGTGTGTTTCTGTAGTGTTTCACTCCAACTACACAAACACACAAAATCTCACAAAGCTGTATGTGGAATTTGTGTGTGTAAAGTGTGAAAGTTGGTTTTTTGGACTTTTTGTGGCTGTGTGAGGTTCCTGCTTGTTGCAGGGGCCATTTTGGGTCTAGCACAGCTGCTTTTACATTGTGGGTGAGCCAGTTGTGTTGTGTTGTGTGTGTTCAGAGTGTGAAAGTTTTTTGGGAGGGCTTTTTGTGGCTGTGTGAGGTTCCTGCTTGTTACAGGGGCCATTTTGGGTCTAGCACAGCTGCTTTTACATTGTAGGTGAGCCAGTTGATGTTTTTTAATTTTTATTTGGTGTGCATTGGAAGAGGGGCAGTCTTATATGGCAAGTATAGCCCAAACCCTATATTTTAACAGGAAAAGTTGGGGGTCGTCTTATACGCCCGGTCGTCTTATACGCCGGAAAATACGGTAATTTGTGAAAACACAGATCGCTGTCTAGGTAGGAAAATGACAATTTTAGTTTTGACTATTGCTTTTAGCATTATGTTATCTATTTGTTTTATTGCTGAAAACTACCTTTAGTACTTCTATAATAGAAAGTCAAAGCATGAATCTATTAACATGTTTTAAATATATCTATATATTATTAAGGGTAATAATTTAAACTGTTGTGCTGCACAAAGATTCTGAGCAGTTAACTGACCTCAGAAGCTCAACAAGGTTAGCTCTGGCTAATCCTTGGATACAGAACCAATGGGGAATTCCAGGGTTGGGATTAAATTGAAATGTCAAAATAACCTGCTGGAAAAATACAATAGCAGCAAATCAATTATTTAATATTCCCAAGAAACTTTGCATGAATAAAGACTAAGAGCCTTGGTAGTACAGTGGTCTAAAGCACCCTGTTATTAAGACCAGCTGCCTGCAATTACTGCAGGTTCGAATCTCGCCAGGCTCAAGGTTGCCTCAGCCTTCCATCCTTTCTAAGGTAGGTAAATTGAGGACCCAGTTGTGGGGGCAACTTTGTATAAATATACAAAAGTATGAAGGCTATTGCTTAACGCATTGTAAGCCGCCCTGAGTCTCCGGAGAAGGGCGGCATATAAATCAAATTTTAAAAAAAAAGACACTAGGAGTCAAACTCAATTCAACTCTACTGTATAACAAAAGTCATTCAAGGTCAAATTAGGTAGGATTACCTGGTTGTGGGAGAGAATTGTCTTTCAAATAATATAAAGCCAATGAACTTTGTGCAGGATCATGCTTCTTCTGAATAGGATCTTGTTACTTAATAAGTTTCAGTGTCTTCCAAACATTCCTTTTAAAAATAACAGTATTGTCTTTTTCATGAAAGAAAAATTCCTTAGAGGCAATGCCTTTATTAGGCTAACCAGAAGTTTTAGAAATAGTTTAAACATTTAAAGTATTCATCATGAAGGATGATGAGTCCAAAAATGTGGGTGAGGGAATGTGACTGATGTGAAAAATAAGCAGGTACAACAGCCAGTAGGAATAGGCAGTCTGAAAAAACATTGGCAACTGGAATAACTTTTCTATAAAGAGAGATTATTGGGGATTTTATCTTTTAAAAGAGCAAATAATGGGAAAGAAAGAACTGCATGAAGCGAGATATAATGTGGAAAAATTATTTAGAAAATGTTTTTCTCTTTTCTCCAACAACATTAAAATAGCTGAAATTGTTATCACGAGGCATTCCCATACCCTTTCATTTCTATTGCTTGAAATGGGATTTGACAGATTTTATGATGAATAAAGCTATCAGAAGTATTTATTGATTTAACAGACCATTGTTTAAGAGATGATTAATTTTTCTGTAATGTTGTTTTTGTTAATTGAGAAATCTGCATATTGTGTCTAAGAGTGAAAGGATGTTAAAATCATGTCTGAATTTTACATTGTCAAAATTTAGGTATCAATCATGGTTTAATTTTTCTTCTTCTCAGCAGTCCTAGGGATGTCCTGGATGAAACTATTTTAGTACCAATATAGCATCATTTGAATTTCTGAGTCTTTCACCATATCTAATTTACATGACTTCAAGATCAATTTAGGTTGTTTTATTTCCCTCTCCCTCATCTCTTAAACGGTTTAGAGATATAAAATCTTGCACATTTTTGTGACATCTGAGTTGACTAGATAAAGATAAGTCAAGGGTCTCCTTGTATTTCTTTTCTGTTGGCTAGTGGGGATATCTTTGTACATTGTATGTGGTTTCTTTTTCATCAAGGAATATATCAAGGTTATCAAAAATATATAGATTATATAAGGGTTATCAAGAAAATCTTATTCGTTTCCATATTTTCCTAGGTTGAATACACAAATAAAAATACTAAAACAAAGTGATTAACATCACATATATGCTACTTTTGTCTTTCCTCTAGATTCACCTAGTATTCTGCAGGATACGCTTCACTTTGGATTTGTGGAGTTTCTTTCTACCTTTTCTGATGCTCCTGTTACTCCTGATGGGGCATAATATCAGATTGCTCAATCAATACTGTAATTCTGCGGAAATTATGTCTTGATCCCCAGAGACAAAAAAGAAAACTTTTGCACCAAATGGAAAATTTTTGCTGGAAGAAACACAAATGTCTTCTTTCTACCCTCTCTTCAGATTTCACAGAAAGTTTGTTGCGCAATTGAAAGCTGTTCAGAGTCCCTCAGAAAATGAGAGACTGGAAGAGAGGGAAAAACAAAGGAGAGAGAGGCTACAAGTGTGTTGCTTCCAGGTCCAAGGACAATAATAATAATCAGGGGTTTTATGAGGATATTATCTTTGCAACAGGATAGCTCTGGTTGTTCCACAGAAGTTTTGAATTTGTGTTCTTTGGATAAAGAAAAAGGTAGTCAGGACATTGTCATCACAATAACTTTTGCCCTGTCTAGAGTCCATCCGGTGTAGTAAGAGCATAATGGAGAACAGTGATATTGAATGTGATATTGAGTTAAGGGAACACAGGACAATTATTTATTTATTTATTTATTTAGTCAGTCAATCAGTCAGTCAGTCCTATTTCTATACCACCCACTCTCTGAGGACTCTGGGCGGCTTACACCAAAGACAGTATACTAAATAGCATATTGCCCCCAACAATCTGGGTCCTCAGTTTACCTACCTTGGAATGATGAAAGGCTGAGTCAACCATGAGCCGGTGAGATTTGATCCGCTGATCTGCTGAACTAGCAGTCAGCTGCAGTACTGCACTCTAACCACTGCGCCACCTCGGCTCTTATTCTTATTCATGGGTATGAGCCAGTTGGTGTAATGGTAAAGGTGATGGCCTAGAAACAAAGAGACTGACTTCAGGTCTTCCCTTAGGCATGAAAGTTGCCTGGGTGCCTGGGCCAATCACTCTCTCTTAACTCACCTCAAAGAATGGTGGTTGTGGGAAAAATAGGAGAGGATGGAGTTATTATGTAAATTCAGTGTCTTGAGTTCAATAACAGATTACCAAATGCACATATAATAACAAAAAACAAACAATGTTTGAAAAGCTTTTGATTGCTGGTTTCCTTTGTAAAAAACTTCCATAGTCTCTTTTGTACATTTTCCCTACATCATGTTTGGTTTCCCCAAAGGGCAATTTCATTTGGTTCATTAGCCATGTTTATCGTTTTCAATAAACTATTGTTTTTACTAGAAATGGAAATCTTCAGTTTGTGTTGCTCTTTTCCATCTGGATTGTTATGGCTTTACAAAAGCTGGGAATGTTTTCAGGAACTAAAGAATCAGTTGCATTTATTTGTAATGGTGAGAATTTTCCAAAGTCATGCTCATTAATGAATGAAATGTACTTGGTTTGGTTTGCTCTTAATAGCTCGGCAAACTTCATAGCTAGCCCTTCAAGGGAATACAGGTGTGACAGCTGTCTAGTCTTCTGTCTTTAACATGGACCTAAAAACTAGTTAGGCACTGATGCATAATGCAGAGAAGAGATGGCTGCTTATAGTTTACAATGTCAGAAAGGAAACATTTCTGCAGCCATCACAAATGGATGTGATGTGGAAGCTGAAGTACCCATTGATAACAATAATAGTTGTGTGCAACTTTTCTAAACTTGGTCCCAGTGTCTATTAGAAATAGCTCGGCATTCACTTTCCAGCTGTCAGTCTCTTATCAATTGAACAAGATGCCTGACTACTTTAGTTGCCCTTTGGGAATTTCTTCACCCCTTGCGATAGTACCATTTAATTATACATATAGCAGCAGGCATTTGGCCTCAAAATTAATAGCTTTGCTACAATTGCACAGTGACATAGTAGGATTTTAACTATATTCATAAAAATATGATATCAAGCTGCTGGAGCACAGGAGATTTAATGAGATGCTAGCAACCTCTTTGCATACATAATCCTGCATGTTGCATTTGAAAGAACAGTATTTTTTTAAAAAAGCAAATCTAAGGCAAAATATCTGTTTCTACAACATTTGACTGAAAAAATTGAAGCCTAAAAAACTTATCTCAGAAACTCACCAAGATTTTAACACTTTCCAAGTGTTACGATTAGTATAAGTATCTCAGGCAGGTTTATTCCCCCAAAAATGAATTTAGGTGAATTTTTTAATCTTCCAGAGAATTCAGCATTTAACCTGGTGATCAAGCTCTGCCTCTATCGTACTCTCTGCCAGCCCTGGCACGAGATAGTGATTAACTTGTCTTCATGGCCGCATATTAACCATGTCTGAAATATTCTGCGTGATTAAACCTATTAGATACAATGTTTCTACCATTCTCATGGTCAGTTTCTGTTTGCTTTCTAGTACCCCAAAAGAAGTTAATGAGATTACTTACAGAGATAGAGCTAATGCAAGATTTAGGAGTGCAAATGCAGAAATTAGAAGTGGGCACAGGGACTTAAATGGTAAAAATTCAAGCCGCTTGGGGAAAAGGAAAATATTTGCTTAGTTTGGGGATAGTTTCCTTTCAGTCTTTCTTGTAAGGGGGAATATTCATAATTATGTATTAGTTGTTTCTATAAATGAAAGTTTACAGTAGTTGGAAACATATGTGGAATAAAGAAGACTATTAAGGGCATGAGAAGAAGCTCAAGATCAGGAAAGAAGGTCTGGGGATCAGGAACTATTAGCCACATTTACATACTTTGTATACTTTATAAATAAAATGGATGAAGATTTCTGTTTCATCTATTTAAAGACATAGTTATGGAGTAGTCCAAAATGTTGCACTAATCAATCCAAACATCTTTGGATCAAGCTTCTAGGAAATGAAAAGCGTCTAGGCTACCCTGCATAAATAAACAACTAAAGCAAGTTTAAAGCATTAAATTCTAGGAAAGATCTTTATATTTCTTCCAACAGGTACTCCCTAAAATTGTTGGAATGAGTTCTTTTGAATCCCATTTTTATATTAGTAGCTTTTGGAGGTCAAGCTCCTAATTCATAGAGAAAGTTAGATTTGTCGAGAAATCTAACAAAATAATGAAAAATTAGAACTACTGCATCAGATGGCAACTGCTGTTTAATAGTCATCTGAATTTTTGCAGTCCAAATCTAGTAGCCCTAGGAAAACTTCACTACAATAGCTTAAAAAATTTTAGAGGCTGCAAATGTAAGTTTAAAATTTCTCTCCCCAACTCTGAATGTACAGTACTCACCATCTCTTCGATTTCTTTTTTAATGTGCACCCACGCTTTCTTTCTCTTTTCTCTTTCCCCTGCTATTTATTCCCTCTCCTCCTCCTATCCGGAGCTGTTTCTGTGCTCTGCATCTTCCTTAGCTTGTCCATCAGTGACAAAACCTGACATATCAGTGGGCAGGCACTGTATCCTGTCTTGCCTAAGCAGTTGTTCGGGAAGTTCCATAGTTGTAAACTTTGCTGTGATTTCTTTTCCTACAACATGAATCTGTACCAGAAATGCATTAAGAAAGGAGTGCAGCACTCCATGTAGTAAATGCGATGGAAAACAGGGTGTACACTGGAAAATTCTTTATGAAATGCCTCAATGTTTTTATACAGGAAAAATCAAGAAAATGTGGGTACTTTATTTCTTTATATGGATATTTTCTTATAAAAGCCAAGTTCTGGAATTAATTTGTATAAACAAAAGTACCTGTTGGTAGCTTTGAAAATATTCTCACATTAAATATCTACACTTAAATTATTTCAGTTCTTTCAGGTTAGGTCATTCCTTTCTGCATAATATAAAGTACAGAACAAAATACTGCACTCCTTCCCACTCACTTATTGAAGGGGAAATTGCATTGTTTTTCATTTTAAAGCTATCCTGTAGAAACAAGGTAACTAGTACTTCATATATTATATAATGTATTCTATATGACCTCATTAGCTAAAATATTTTATCAAGATGTTCCTAGACCAGCCTTCCCCGATCTTTTACTTTTCAGATATAGTAGACTAACTTCTCATCTATACGTACCATGTATGTATGGCACCTATATGTACCATGTATGTATGTCAGGGGTGAAATGCTCCTGGTTCGGTCTGGTTTGCCCGAACCGGTAGTAAAAAAGGCTACTGGTTTGCTGAACCAGTAGTAAAAAATGTAAAAAAAAAAATTCCAACCATCAGCTGAGTGACATGCGATCGTCGGAACTTTTTAAAAAACCTTTTTAGCATTTTTTTATTACCGGTTCTCCGGAACTGATAGTTAAAAATGCTTTAAAAAGTAAAAAAAAAAAAAAAAGTTCAGAAGATCGGGCATCACTCAGCTGATCGTCGGAACTTTTTTTTTTTTTTTACTTTTTAGGCATTTTTTTACTACCGGTTCTCCAGAACCGGTAGTAAAAATGCTTTTAAAAAGTAAAAAAAAGGCTCCGATGATCACAGCTGTGCCGCACGATCGTCAGAATCTTTTATTTACCTTTTTAAAGCATTTTTTTACAACCTATTCGCTCGAATAGGTTGTAAAAAATGCTTTTAAAAAGTAAAAAAAAAAGTTGGCCATGCCCACCCAGTCACATTACTCCCCCCACCAAGCCACGCCCACAGAACCGGTAGTAACAAATTTTACATTTCACCACTGATGTATGTATGTATGTATGTAGAGAGGGAGAAATTTGTATTGTGATCAGAAATGTAATCATGTTTTTGTCTATTTGATGGAAGACTTGTGTAGGCCAACCTCTTGACTTGGACTGTATACTCACAGTGTTATGTATACTACTTGAAGAGTGAGTCTTTTTTCTCTCTTCCTCTTCCTTTACCCCTCTCCCTTCTCCACTTTATGTAGTCCTGGACACACAACATCCAGCGAGAGAAGGAATTCCTACGAAAACTGGTAAAAGCTCGAGTAATCACGGACCTCACCAGTGGAATCTGAAGAACAAGCTCAGCAACTGTGCCGGAGAGCACAGCCAGGTGTATCCAGCTAAGGACAAGGGCAGCAAGAGGTGTTTAGCAAGAATCCCAGCTTCCAAAAGATGCCCTTGGATCCTCTTCCTGGCTTGCTTTGTCTGCCTATGCCAGGTCCAGCAGGGGAACAGCAGCTCTTGGTTTAAGAGGGCCGGGCCCTCATTTGGAACTGCCAGAAGATGTTTTGCTGGAGATAAAACATCAGCGGAGAGAAGAAAAATAGGCTTGTGAAACAAAATAAATTTGTGCCAAGTGGGAACAGGAGCCAGGCCAGAGGCCACAGTGTTTGAATGTATAAGGCATTATTTTTTTAATAGCAAGAAATAAAAACTACAGTAAATATATCAATGGGCACAGTGGAGCCTAGCCTTTGAACAAGCCTGGTGGGATGCTTTCATTAGTACTGCATTTAGCCTGTCCTTGGGCCAGCTACGGCCCCTCTGCAGGGTCTCAGTTCATCCAAGGTTTGTCTATTGTTGGTGCTGCTTTAATGTCAAAGTATTGTGATCTCTCTTTGCTCTAGATGGAGCAAATTAAAAGTTCTGTTAGATCTTCAGACTCCCTGTTCCTCGGGGGGCCTCCACTGCTGCCACTGTTCATCTGGCTGCATTTTTAGACTATTCGTGAAGTTCACCTCATTATGTTGGACGAACTTAACCTGCTTTGCAGGTTCATCACAGATTCTGCTGGCAGATAACCCAGTATTTTGTTTTCACTAGCATCCATATCATGCTTCTGAACAGCATAACACTTTTTCTGTTCTTGTTTCTTTGGAGAAGGAATAATTTATTTTTGGATAAGGACCAAACCGTCCTAAAATATGAAGATTTATCAGCTTTTATGGTACCAGAGATTTTTCATTCATTCTACTATACTTAGTTTATGAGAATAATACCTTTCGTGTATGTAGATTTTTCTGTATGCTCTGAGATAATATCTCCCTTGTTTTTCAGCTTCCATATATCCGGTTTTGTTTTGTTTTGTTTTGTTTTTTCCCCAGATGGTTTCTACTTCCCTCTGTATTTTTTTTAAATTATAGCAGGGACTCTTTATTACATCTCTGCTCTATCTTTCAGATGCAGTATTTGCACAAGTATGTATTATCTGTATTGGTAAGATTTGGAATATGTGTATGAGATTCAGCGGTGAATTTAAATTAATTAACATACCTTTCCTTATATGGAGAGGATGTAATAATCTGGCAACTCTTCTCATGAAGATCAAGCTAAAGAATTCTCATCCTGTGTAGGGCACAGGGCACAGCTTGCATTCAGTAGTGTGAATATGCATTTTGCTTGCTCAGTGCCCTAAAATAGGAGGTTCTTAACAGGACACTGGGTATTTTGCCAAATAAGCAAAGCTGAGGCAGTAGCTCAACTATTCCCATAATTATTTTTAGAGATGGTCAGAAACTGAAAAAGTGCAACTCTATAATAATGCAAATAATGATGTAAAAGATCCTGCACAATCACTTTATATTGTAGTTTAATAACTACAATATTGGCCTGTCTGAGTAACTTGGCAAATGTTACACCAAAATGTGTAGTTTTCATTGTGTACATACTGAACTATGCCCACTTGAATGGTGGAGGATGACTGCTTTATTTGTTGGCCTTCATAGTCTTGGCAGACCCTTCCTAACCAAGAGTATTTTAGTTGTCTAGGTATCGACTTGGAATCAGCCTTTCTAAACAACGTATACAATTTGCTGCCCCAAGGAGTTATGATGGTAACTAATGTAGATGGCTTTAAAATTAAATAAAATAAATTCAGGAAGGATAACGCCAGTTATTTTGGTTATATGCAACTTCCTGATTCAGAGGAGAGATACTTAAAAATATCAGAAGCTGAAAAGCAATGGCATTATTTTTTACTATTGTTATGCCATGCGTGTAGGTCTCTTAGAACAACTGGCTGATTATTGAGGGACATGCATGGTGCTGGTCTAGTTGTGCTTTTGATCTAATTTGATAAGAGCTTTTCTTATCTCCTCAATCTTATGAATGCAGGTGAATATCTTTGAATTTCTCTGTTCTCTATTTATGTGCTGTGCACATGTTCTTCTGAAGGAGGATAAGCATAGAAATATGAACTGTTTGACCACACCAACAAAAGTTGGAATGATTCCACAGCCTGCGGAATATAGCATATATCTAAAAGATTAGTTTTTTCCCTAAATAATTACTTTTATAATGGAGATAATCACTTAGATGGCAATCGTGATAAATTTATTTTGTTTTTCAATCTCCCTTTTGGAGAGAAGGGATCAGCTTAGATTGAGGACTGTTTTTCTTTTGTATAAATATAGTACTTGAGTCATGGAGTGTTTGGATGGAGCCAGTTGCAGAACTTGTATCAGTGTATATGTTTCTTGGGTTACATGTTTTTTTCTATGTCTTTTTCTCATTGGACGTTGTGAGTCCAGGATTCCACACTTATCAGCAGCTAAACATGTATGTTCCAAATGGTTAGAATGGTTTTTGTACTATAGAAAAACCATGGTCCTATAGCAAGCTCCATTTTGGTTGGAAAGTTAACTATTAGGGAGGATATGTTGAAGAAATATAGAAGAAAAGAAATACATATACCCAAGGAAAACCTAAAGAGATGATGATAGATAGATAGATAGATAGATAGATAGATAGATAGATAGATAGATAGATAGATAGAATAAAGAAGATAATTTGTAGCTTGAGGTTGACATGAGGAGTCCTTGGTGCTCTCTGAGGTTGCTTATTTTCTTGCAGACACAAACTAGGTAACATCATCAGATGTTAGCACTGATGATGTTACCTAGTTTTGATAATGAAACATCTGTAAGAAAACAAGCAAGCTCAGAGAGCACCAAGGACCCCTCAGATAGATGATAGTCTGACCTCTAGGTGGAAGCAAAGTAACATAAAGCAATTGCTGAAAGAAGGCTCAAGGCCCATCTCCACCAAGGGATTTATGGTACAAAAAGCCTACACCACAGTCTCAAACATAGTGTGCTCTCCCAGATCATCGTCACGAAATGGAAAAACAAGACACAGGTCTTGTGTACCTTATAATTGGGTAACTTGTCATCCAGTCTTCACCTGCTGAAACTCAGTTTTTACATAAGGATTTAGGAACCTATTCTCTTTTGCATTTGGCCATTGCATCAAGTACCCATGCGTATTATGCCTCACTTTTGGTTGGTGGAAGGTGGGGAGCTGCTTGTATACATTATTACTTTTAAAGTAGTCAGATTTTTTGATTGTTAATAAAAGTATATTTCTACAGTAACAAATGTATATACCGGTAGAACTGCCATCCCCATTACTTATTTGATTTGAATATTTTAAAAATTTGGGCTTCAATCTTTAACTTAAACTACCAGAACCAGTCGAGATTCTTCCTAAGACAATCAGCAGCACATATGAATTTCATTATATATAATTTAAGGCTAGACCTTAGTTTGTTTTCTGTTTCTCTGTGGCCTTCATTTATCAATGAATAGTTCAGTATACTACATTTTAAGCATATCTGTTTTGGATGATTCTTACAAGCCTTTTTACTGTTTTGAATTTATCTCATTTAATGCACTTCCATTGTAAGATTTCCAACTCCAGTTATTGCCAAGGTCTGTCCAAAACATAAAAAATATCTGTGCAAAAAAAAAAATGTTTTTTTACCTATCTGGCTACTTATATTTTTTGAAATTGGTTCTCTAGAGTGAAAATAGTAAGACTAAATACAATAAGTATTTCACAACCCAATACTCTGACCTCATCTGACACTTTACTTGAATCATTTCCTCCAACTGGCTTTGTAGTATGTCCTCCAGAAAAATTGAAAGTAGGCAGAATTGATAAAGCATTTCATTCACATTTCATTCAAATTTCCAAGAGAGTTTAATGGAAGTTTCTGAAAAAACATAATTCTTATTGCAGACAAAGTGGATATAAAGTGCTTGTCTTCTTGCAGATCTAAAGAGAGAACAACTCAATTTAAACTCTTAGTTGGGCTTATCTTGCTCAAATGTATCCCTCAATTTCTTCCTGTATTGTAGATGCATTCAACTAGGAGTGAAAAGTTGCAGTGGAGGAAGGTGAGGCTGTTACCTGACTAAACCTTGCCTGATTCAACTAAACCCCTAGAAGCAGTGGTGGGATTCTACCAGTTCGGACTGGTTCGGCCCAACCAGTAGTTCCCACTTCCTGCCGAGAGCAAACCAGTTCTCTGTTGCTGTGAAAGTGGGACCGCCCACCCGCCCTAGGGGTATAGTGACTTCTGCTTCTGAAGCCCAGCTGATCAGGGGCAACAGATTGAATTGGCCCTCCTCAGCTGTTTTCCTTGCTCCTTTCCTTGTTTGCAACATGAAAGTTCAATATTATAGAAAGTGTGCATGCGCACGCAGCACAGAGCGAAGCGAGAGTGCGCTTGCGAAGCACACGCTCAGCAAACCAGTTGTTCACCTGGTAGGATCCCACCCCTGCCTAGAAGCATACCCCAGAAAACAAAAGCCAATGGGAAAAAAACATAAATGTAGTAGGATTTCCTCCTTGGTTTTTATTTGATGTCAAAATAACATGCTATTGCAATTTGCCTTATACGAGTTTGCAACTACATGTAGTGCCCCAGCATCCTTAAATTGCAGCATTGAAATCTGGCAGCAAAAGAGCTGATATGTTGGTAGAGAAATTTTAGCCCGTTTTTGGACATTTTCTGGGGATAAAAATGGAAGTACTTTTCCTCTAGAAACTTCCCACATCTGCTGGGTCTTTGCAGCATTCAGGTCCAATGGCATTTAGTAGTGAGAACTCAGCACCTCCAGAGCTACCCATTAGGGGAAATGCAGAGCTACCTATTAGGGGAAAATGAACATTGGAGTTTACCTGAATGTTCGATCTATGTGTGCTGCAGGAGAGTCCAAGCAATGGGTTCAAGTTTAGCTTGGTTGGCCAGAAACTGAGTTGAATTTGCCTAGCCACGCCTCTTTCTCCCATGAGCCTTCAGTGTTTCGACGAAGAGGTCTGTAGAAGACGTAGCAAGATGATAGAAGAATGTCCACTATAAGTAAGTGTTGGATGCTGGACCGCTACAGTAGGGCGGGGTTGGACTCTCCTGCAGCGCACATAGATCGAACATTCAGGTAAGCTCCAATGTTCAATCTCCTGTGCGCTGCTTGGAGAGTCCAAGCAATGGGATATACCCAAGCTAAGTATCCCTAGGGCGGGAGTCTGAGCGGTCCAGGTGTCGTTCTCCTGGTAGAACCTGCTGCAGGACTCTTCTGCCAAACGAAGCCTCGGCTGAGGCAAAAACGTCCAACTTGTAATTTCTGATAAAGGTAGTGGGAGAAGCCCAAGTTGCAGCCCTGCAGATCTCCAATATGGAAGCCTGAGTAGCCCAGGCTGCTGCTGTGGCAGCGCTATGAGTTGAACGTGCAGTGATGTTTCTAGGCACTGGAGTAGATTGGTGTTCGTAAGCCATTGCGATGCAAGCTTTGAACCATCTCGCAATTGTAGATGGGGTAACTTTCTTCCCCATGGCGGTAGGCTGGAATGATACAAATAGTGATTCAGACTTTCTGAATGATGCGGTCCTGTCAATATATTTGCGGAGTGCCCTACGAACGTCGAGCGTGTGCCAACATTGTTCTCTAGGATGTGCTGGGTCAGGGCAAAAGTTAGGTAAAACCACCTCCTGTGCCCTGTGAAACCAAGAGTTGCCTTTTGGTACGAAAGTCGGGTCCAACCTGAGGACCACCCTGTCGGAGTAAAAGATTCATAGATCTCCACGTACCGACAGTGCCGCCAGTTTGGAGATCCTTCTTGCAGACATGATTGCTATCAAGAAGGCGACTTGAAGGTAAGTATTCTGAGGCTGGCGGATCCTAAGGGCTTGAACGGAGCAGATGTGAGTGCTTGCAAAATGAGAGGCAAGTCCCAGGAAGGATACCTATGGACTGGAGGAGGCCGTAAGTTAGCAACTCCCCGAAGAAAACTCCTCACCTTGGGGTGTTGAGAGAGAGAGATAGGACCCTCTCCCTGTAGAATAGTCACTAAGGTGGCCACCTGTCTGCAGAGCGTGTTGGCAGTAAGTCCCCATTTGAATCCTGAGTGTAGGAAATTCAAGACGTCTGGAAGAGAAGCTGCCCTGGGAGGAATGTGCGATTTTCGCCACCAGCTAGAGAAGGTTGACCAAGTGGCATCATAAATCCTGGTGGTAAACGGACGACGAGATACCTGGATGACGGAAACAACCTCGCTTGAGAAATCCCTCAGGATTTCCCGCTCAATCACCAGACGGCCAGTTGGAGCCACTGGGGCTCGGGATGTTGAACTGCCCCCTGGCTTAGGACAATCCTGTCTGGCGGAATCCTCCACGGGCGGGACACTGACAGTGACACTAGGTCCGCAAACTAAACCCTTCTGGGCCAGTGCGGAGCCACCAACAGAATTTCTGCCTGCTCGTCCAGAAGCTTCTGGATGACCCTTGGTAGTAGAGGTGTCGGAGGAAATGCATATAGAAGGCCTTGAGGCCAGGGCGCCCGAAGGGCGTCTGTTGCTTCTGCCCCCGGCGTCGGAAATCTGGAAAAGAACCGTGGTAGGTGAGTGTTCTTTGGTGTTGCAAACAGATCCACGCGTGGTTGGCCGAACCTGGTTGTCAGTTGGTGAAACAGGTCTGGATGGGGACGCCATTCGGAGTGGTCGACGGTTGTTCGACTCAACCAGTCCGCCTGTTCGTTGTGTGCGCCTGAAATATGTTCCGCTTGGAGGGAGAGCAGGTGTGATTCCGCCCAGAGACGGAGGCTCGCTGCTTCGGACATCAGGTCCTTGGACCGGGTGCCTCCCTGCCTGTTCACGTGTGCCTTGGCGGTCACATTGTCGGTTAACAGCAACACATGACAGTTGGTTAGCGAGAGGTGGAAATGACGGAGAGCTAGGTGGGCAGCTCTGACTTCCAACCAATTTATGTCGTGTAACAGATCCTGTGGTGACCATCTGCCCTGTACCATCTGGGAACCCAGGTGAGTCCCCCAGCCGAATAGACTGGCATCTGAAGTTAGTGTTAGATGTTGCAGTTCCTTGAAGAGACAGCCTTTCTCTAAGGAAGGTGATGTCCACCAGTTCAGGGAGTGGAGAACTTTTGGAGGCACTCTGACTCTTGTGGAGTGACTGATGCCTGCTCGTTGGCTCGGTAGGAGGAACCATTGTAAGGTTCGGGAATGTAACCTCGCCCAAGGAACGATGGCCAGACATGAAATCATTTTCCCTAGTAACTGGGACAATAATGCGAGGGAGACAGACCTGACTGACCTGACCCGATGTATCAAGGCCCGTATGCTGACTAGACATTCTGGTGATAGAAAAACCTAGCAACTGACTGTGTCTATCAGGGCACCTAAATGAAGGATAGAATGGGATGGAATTAACTGGCTCTTTTCTAGATTTATTGAAAACCCATGAAGTTGCAGAGCCTGAATAGTCTCTGACAAATCCTGTCTCGTCTGCCTGATGGATGAAGATTGAATCAAAATGTCATCTAGGTAACGTTGAAGCCTGATTGGGCGAGCCCGCAGATGGGTTGCCACCATGTCCAGGAGCTTTGTGAACGTCCTGTGGGCAGAGGACCGGCCGAATGGAATGGCCCTGTATTGGAAGTGTTGTCCTGCGTAACAGAATCTGAGATATTTCCTGTGTGAAATCCGAATTGGTATGTGCAGGTAGGCTTCCTTTAGATCTATGGATGTAAGCAGATCCCCCTGTCTGATGCAATTTAGAATAGAGGTTAAGGATTGCATCTTGAATCTCTTGTATTTGATGTGTTTGTTGAGTCTTTTTAGATCTAGTATTCCCCTGCAACCCCCCGATTTCTTGGGGACCAGAAAGAGGATCGAGTAGAAACTGAGACCCTTCTGCGAGACAGGCACCGGTTCTATTGCCTGGATGGAGAGTAGATGAAGGATCTCGGCTTCCATCAGAGACCTCCTGGTGGCATCCCTGGGAAGAGTGCAAGAGATGAATCTCCTTGGAGGGAGGGATGAAAACTCCAATGTGAGACCGAGCCGGACGGTTTGCAGAGCCCAGGCGTCCGTTGTGATGAGCTCCCATTGGGCTGAGAACCTCAAGAGGCGGCCTCCAATGGGAACGTGTGACTGGGAGTCATTTGGACCTGCGGTAAGGTCTACCGCCGGCCCCTCGAAAGGGTCTCCTAGATTGGGGTTGTCTAGACCAGTCCCTGAACTGAGCCCTATCCTGGGATCGGTCTGAAGTTGGAGGGTAAGTCCTCTGATAGGTTGAGGCAGAGAAACCGCCCTCCGCCCCACGAAAGGACTGCCTACGATAATATGGAGATATCTCCTGTCTGTCCTCCTGTGAGACAGGGGAAGTACCTTCCTTTTATCCTTGGTCTCTACCAAAATGGGATCTAAAACATCACCAAAAAGATTATTGCCCTGAAAAGGAGCAGATGCCAATTTCCATTTGGATTTCATATCGGCTTGCCAATGGCGAAGCCATAATAATCGTCTGGAAGTCACATTAGAGGCCAGGGCCCTGGAAGCGAACTTAGCCGCATTAAGGGTTGCATCAGCAGAGTATTCTGCTGCAGTAATTAACTTGTTGATGTCCTGGTGTAACCTGACATCTCCCTGGGGAGCTCTTGCCTGCATTTGGCGCAGCCACAGGAGGGA